ATGCCACTCATATCACTTTTTTGTATAACTTTTGAAATGCGAAACACAAATTTTTGTACATATATAGGTGACATTAATTAAAAATTAAATATTAAATATTAAGCATGTAAAGAACTCAATGGCATGCATGTAAATCTTCATTAAGTATTAAAGTACTGGTAAGAATCAAGAGATCAACTCTTGATTGTATGGAAGTAGTTCGAATATTTTCATTAGAGATTGGTTAAATATATAATTAGGCTAAACATTTAGTTTTTAATTGAACTATTTATGAAAGTTTAGTGAATTAGTTTTGTATTAAGAAATGCTAAATTTAGCTTAATTGATATAAACTGATTATTTATGTTTAACAAAGTTTAATTAATTAATTAATTAAAAACAAATTGATTTTACTCTGACTAGAAGACAATCAGCCATAGCATTTTTTTTATAGGATATCTTTAGATATTTATTTATGATTTCTACAATATAAATATTTAATGTATGATATTTTAGAGTAGGTAAATATAAGTCATCTGTTTTATTACTTTATTTATTTATCTTAATATCTTATTTTGGTACATACTTTATAACTTCTATTTATTAAGCCAAATATAATATGGGAGGATTTATATGCAAAACAAATATTTTTTAGATATTTATATATCTAATACTTTAACTTAAATATTTAGTTACACACACTCATACAAATACATACATATAGACATATATATATGTATGTATATGTATATTTGTGTGTTTGTGTGTGTGCGCCTTCGCCTGACTCATTGATTGTAGCCTTTGTTATAAGTCCTTCAGGTCGGGGGTTCGATCCCTGCATAGGATCGAATTGCACACCTATCTGGAAGGGGGTCCGCCTCTCGATCAGATTATATATAAAGATAGATAACAATTGTGATATATGTGATATAAAAATATATAAAAATTGTGTGATATGTGAATCCAAGAAGACACTCTCGATAAAACAGCAAAGCCACATAGTTGATAAAACAACCTACTTATCAAGCAAAAAGCCAAGAAGACACTGTCGCATTCCATAAAAATGAAATTCCAATTGTTTCTTTGCTCAAAAATTGCACTTTTACCAGTGTAAAAGATTAGTACCATTAAACGATGTCTCTGAGTTCCTTCATATGCATATATGTGTTGCAAAACATTATCCTTTAAAGAAGGTGCTGAGAATTTGCAAAACAAAGCCAAGAAGACATTTTTTGAGACTACTCCTTAATGTTAGCCGAAAAATGAGCCTCTACTGAAACTCAGCACATGTAACCAAAGCACCCACAAGATGATTGCATCTAAACAGAGCCAATAGCCCCTAGATAGATGAACATTCATTGAAATCCCTAACCTATGTAATAATTAAAAAGAACTAAACAGAGCCAACAACCGAATCCATCCAACAACCGAACCCACCCAACAAAAACAGCAAGCAATAGAATGTAATGCACAAGTTAAGTAATTCCAGGGGTCTTATAGTGGCTAGCTCTCTTCCATTGATACAACCTTTCCTTGAGATTTCTCAGTTCTCCAATAAACATATCAATTAATAGGTCTTATAGTGGCTAGCTCGAAAAACAGTAAGAACACATCAATAGCAAAATGTAATAACACCTTTTCCTGTGTGCCTCAACAGATAAGTAACCAACAAGCTCGAAAAAACAGCAAGTAATAGAATGCTGGAATCAAAAATGCAGATGCACTCCAAAAATACCACACCACGAAGAGCATATCACTCTCCACAAAAGCAATTGCACTCTCCAAAAAACATCAAAGCAGATACAGCAGAAGCTGAACCAAACAGGGGATTTCGAAAATGTATGTTCACTGTCAAAGTAAAGAATGGGGAAAACGAAAATAGTAGATGGAATCAAAAACACAACTTCCTGATCGCTAGCAAGAGAAGAAGGGAATGATCAATCCCCCTCCTAACCCAACTCAACATCATTCGGAGGAAGAAGAGCAAGGTATCATGACATTAACAAGCCAACTCCACATCAATTCGACAGCTCATATGCACTGTCATCTATGCACTTCACACTACTAATTGCATTAACAACTACCACTACACATGAATCAACCATCACAACCACAATCTGCGACCAACCTTGAGCCGTCAGCCACCAAACAAGAATGCGTTAAAGGAGAAGGTAAAGAGAAGGCAAAACCCTAGTGATGAAAGAAAGGGGTAAAGAACATCACAGTCGTTTTCTCCATGTGTTGAAGAAAAAATCGCCGAAGTAGGAAGGATAGGAGGAGAGAGAACATGACATTCGAAAAAATCGTAAAGCACCCTCAAATCTGCGATTAGAAGAAGAAAAATGCTTGTTATACCTCAGATCTGTCGATCGCGGGGCAACGAAGCAAGAGGACGAAGGAGAGCCGTAAGGTAAGTCGTTAGGGCTGAAGAGAAACGAAAGGGGTAAGCGGGACAATGGGTAAGAGGAAAGTGGGGACCGCGGCCTAATATCGCGGCCGCGGATCGATCCGCTTCGCCAACAATATGCCGTGAAACGCCGAACCAAACACTGGAATGCGGGACGAAGCCGCGGTCGCACCCCGCGCCGCGCAGCAGAAGCCGAACCAAACAGCGCCTAAGTCAAGCAAAATTCACCATTCTGTATGAGCTTGCTCAAAATAATTGTCTAATCTTATGGGTGATGAGAGATGAATCAATCCATTATTAAGAAGCCACATATATTTACAAATAAATGTCACAAAAATGTTACTCTATGAACTCAAATTCACTTCATCACTTGATAAAAGAGACCCCAAATATTTTAAGATTAACTATAAAAAACTCAAAGTCCTATTTACTAAGATCATATAGAGATAATAACTATAGGATTGTGTGTACTTACTCCGTAATAATAAAGCATGTTGTGTTAGACATAGGTACTTATTCGACATGCAATGGCATGTATCTAACATGTATTATCGTGCCCAATCATAGGAATTAAAAAGATTTAATGGATATGTATGTCTGACATGTGTGTTGTGAATGATAAATTTTAATTTTAAAAATATAGTATATAAGAAACTTAAATAGTTTTTTTTTTCCTTTTTGAAATATATAATTTAAATAATTTAATACTAAGCAACTCTAATTTTTTTATTTGCCCTATTTTTCTTTTATTATTTTTATTATATTTTTATGTATTTCTCTACAAAAGTTTTATTTTTAAACTTAAAACTAACAATCTACATATATTCTTCGGTATCATGTGACCTTTCTTCTTTAAGTGAGTTTTGGGCATCAAGTTAATCTGAATGTATGTTAACTTATGAGCAATTGAAACAAATTTATCATTATTTGAAAACATTTTGTATTTATTTTTGTGTGTAATTATTATACAATTTTTTACATTTTCAGATGTAGTATGACAATGGCATTTTAAATGCACATCTCTTTCTTTTATTTTCAATAATAAATGTGTCCTATATCCATGTCAGTGCGTGATAGCTGATTATCTCTGTTCAGTCACTTCTCAAAGAAGTCTCCTCTTTTGTTTTTTCAGTTTTCAACAACAGTTGGCTAAACCCTAAAGCACACACTTGCCTCATCTTCTCTTTCTATTTGTAGGAGTTCAAATTTAAATCAAAATCTAATTCAAATTTTGATTTTGAGCTAATTTATAATAATCAAATTTCCAACAAAGTTATTAAATCATTTCTTTAAAAAAATTATTTTGTTAAAGTTATATTTCTATGTAAAATTATCTTTAAATTTTGTACTTATTTTCATAGCAATGGATCTGATATTCTACTTTCCATTAAATTTAGTGGGATTCATTAACAATATTGTGGCAATCTTATCACAACAAGTCTTAATGTTGGTTCTTAGTTTTATTTTTTTTTTAATATTTTTGTCTTCATCATTTTTTCGGACTTCAAGAGGCATTTAAGCTGTGATTTTTATTGCTGTTACAGCTTCATCTATTTCCTAATTTTGTGTACAACTGGTCCAATGTGCCTCTCTTATCTCACTTATATATTGCTTAATCCTCCAAAATTCTTTATTTGTTATTATTATTCGCTCCTACATTAAAAATTCTTTTTTATGCTTTCCTATTTCTCTTATCTTTCTGTGTTTCTCTCCAATGTATAAACTTTTCTTTTAATTAAGTAGAATTTTCATTTATTAGGTTTATGCCATCTATGATTTGTATAAAGATAGTTTTCCCGATTTGAATATTTGTTATGCATGTTAATTGCAAAATGCGAGCTTATTGATTTTCAATGTAACCTCTGGTGTTGGGAAATTGTTTATTAAAGAATTTACTCTTAACTGTTGTTTTTACTGCCTCGACAGCTTCATTACAAGTATCTTTGATAAATCTTATTTCTTAGATACACTCTAAATCTGCACTTGAAATACTTGAAGGTAAATGCAATGCCAGTGAAAAACTTTGCATCATTTTCTCATGTATTCCATTTTTTTTATGTTTCATTTTGAAACCAGAATAATTTCTATTTTTGATTTTTCTAGCATAAAATTAAACTAATATTTTGGATATGAATGTAGTATTCTGTATTCTTTAGTCCATCATTGTATCTCAACTTCGCTGTGTAGAACTTAATCTTTGTTTACTTTTAATTGCCATAGTTTTGAAGTGCATATCATTTAGTTTTGAATTTTAGGCCAATATGCATGTTTTAGTTTTATATCTATACACAGATTTTTTATTGACTGGCTGGTTCTCACTCTCTAGGTTGATATACAGCCTCCATTTCACCAACACCTACATTCGTGATAGATAGATACTTTTGAGTAGCATGTTTCAAATATCTGAAGGGCTTACTAGAAACCAGTTTTGTTGCTTTATGCTTCAAGTTTTTCTGATGCACTCCATTTTGTGATTCTCCCTTTTTTCTTCAGTGAAAAAAAACATAAGCTTTTTAATGTCATCATTTTCATAAAATGGCACGGTATCCAATTGTTATAAAGTTCTTCCTTTTTTTAATAAAACGATGGCTTATGTTGATTCTTGTAATGGCAGAATGTTCCATATGTGTTTGTTCGTTCGAAACAGGCTCTTGGAAGAGCTTGTGGGGTTACAAGACCTGTGATTGCTTGTTCAGTTACCAGCAACGAGGGTAGCCAACTGAAATCACAGATCCAGCAACTGAAGGTAATCTGTGATGGCTTTCCCTTTAATGATGCTTTAAACATTAAACTCAAACATTTACATAAAGCAAGCACTTTGTTGTCAAAAAGAGGAAAAAAAGAAAAAAAAAACGATTCAATTGTCATTCATCTAATGTCCTAGAAGATTTTTTTATGGAAATTGCTAGAAATCAAAGTGGTTTTTTGTTCAGAATGAGTTTGGTTAGAAGTAAAAAAAGCAACTAATGAGATCAATGTTGCTTGGATTGAACTTAATTAAGCCAAGCTCAGATTATATTGTAGTCTATATATATGTGTGTGTGTGTGTGAGAGAGAGAGAGAGAGAGAGAGAGAGAGAGAGAGAGAGAGAGAGAGAGAGAGAGAGAGAGAGAGAGAGAGAGAGAGAGAGAGAATTAATGTATAATGCATGTTGGGAGAGTGAATTAATGTATAATGCATGTTGGATTAAGAATGTCTTAGATGATTCAGAATCAATCATTGTATTTGAGTCATGCTTGCAAAAATCAAAATTAAATTTATCATGACTTGACTCAGGGCTGAGTATCGAATTGAATTGCATCAAGTAGGTATTGAACCCGAGTCTGATCAGGTCGATATTATCAGCCCTACTTTTGAGCTTTCTTTTTGGCACTATTGCTTTTCTTTTTTTTTTTTTTTGGGCTTGAATGCTATTATTATTTTTATTGAATTATCTTAAAAGCGCATTATTCCTGTAATCCGCAGGATGCAATTGAGAAGCTACTCATCTAAATGGTGAAACATTCCAGCATGAAGGGCCTCGGTATAGAGTTGTTGGAGGCTTGGACTGATATTCCGTAGGCTTCTTATGATTTTAGTATTTCTTGAACCAGATGCTTGTTTGTAAGAACGTATGATGTCTACAGTGTATGAGATTCCTTATCTATAGTTTGTTGTAAGTTAGTGTGTGCTCTTCAAAGTGTATGGATGTGCATTTTCTTGAAGTATAAAATTATACATATTGCATGAAATAAAAGATTGTAAGAACCTTCATTGAAACATAAATTTATAAATTTTCATAAAAATATTAAAAAGATGATTTCAATAAATCTATGAGAATGTTATGAATGAATATTTTGATGGATATATTAGTTAAGATGCACGAGTGTTCAAATTTTATGGATGAAAATAAAATTGATGCCTACTAACTAAAGTTTACCTAATCCTATGGACATATTAGATGTATTAAGCCTATGATCTTAACTAATCCACTGCATTAGGAGAAGGGATGTATAATTATGGCATTTATACCATAACAATTGCTATAAGATTGCACCAAGCCTAGCATTTGTATTAGGCCTACTACACACTTGAAAGAGTATATAAACTTTGGCATCGATAATAAGGGCACACATGCCAAACTCAATATAAAGCACACACACAGATATATATATATATAACTGACACAAATCTCAAAGTGAACGAACGACCGAAAATAGACATTATAGTTTGGAGTATCAACAATTCTAAGTTATTTTTCATTAATTTTTTGAAGGACTTCTATCTTGTAGTCTTGGATCCATTCCTTTTACTTCATAGTTACTAATTTCAATGGCCCGCATGGCAAGAACATTTTCTTGTTAAGAGGCTATGATA